AGTCATTGACTTTTCATCAAATAAAGCTCGCTAAGTTTTATTCGTTAACAAGTTAGATTGATTTTTTAAAAAATATAAATTGTATTATGATTTGAACAAATTACTAAATTTTTTGGATAAAATAATGTTTTTGTAGGCAATAAATATTTGAGAGCCTTGACAGAAAATAGTATATTAACTCTATCTCTCCATAATTATTTTAAATGTTCAGAAAGAAGTATTCATTTTTCTCATTTGTATTTAACTAGCCTGTTAGGGTTAAACTTCAATAATGGTTCTCTTTTAATCTGAAAATGTTATATTTGGAATTGACAAATGCATGCCCTTTTTTATATACGGTAACACGAATTAAAATTTAAGTTAATTTAATGGGGTCAAATCAACGATGGCATCGTCGATCGGGAGAGTTAGGTGCTGCTTAAGAAACGGTTTTGTTAGATTCTTCGTTGAACAGATGAAATGTCGAAAAAAAAAATGGAAGCTTTTTATTTTGATTAAAAAAAAAAACAACTCAATTAATATTTATGCTTGAATCTCTATACAGATTCTATAAGTATCAATGTAGAAATGGGAAGCTTGCTGTCGTGACCCCAAGAAACTATAAACTGTTTACATATTCGCGTAGCTGGAGGGAGGGGGGGAATCTTCTTTTGGCCCCCAGTTAAGAGGGTCCCCAAATGATATTTCGAAATTGCTTTTACATTTTATATTAAATATTATGCAGATATGGAAGTAAGGTCATGCCTACCCTGGCCCCCAAATGATGGCTAATTTCTAGCTACGTTTAAGACAGTCCTCTTGGGGGAGGTTTTAATCATGCACGATTATTAATCAATTTAAAAAAGTAGTTTTTTTTTTATATTTTGTTGTGTTTTTTTGGGTAGTTTTTCGTGTTGTTTTGAAACTGTGCACATTTATTTATTGTTCCTTGAGTATTGTTACTCAAAAAAATAATCTATAAACGATTAGTTAATTAAATAGTGATTTTAAAAAGGAAATAAATCTTACAAAAGTAAGATATAAGGCTTTTTTACAAATTAAAAATAATTTTTGCTTTTTTGTTGTATTTTTTGTATAATTTCATTTTTATTATAGCTTTTATATAGCGCTACTTTCATGCTTATAGGATGCTAGTAGCGCTTTTGGTCCAATCTTATTTGTGGACCAGTTGGGGGGGGGGGGAGGAGGGGGTATCTAGGAGTTGGTTTTCCGTGCTGCCTTTCGGCGCTCAGTAAACACAACTCTGCCTCTCGACCACGCATGTCACTATTTTATATGCTCCTTAGAAAACACTAAATTGGCCTCTCAAAATAAAGTAAATTTTATTTATTCTGTCTTCCGTTTTCAACGGATGGCTGCCTGGTCGTGCGGTTTGCGCGCTGGACTGTCGTTCGGATTTATTGACGGTCGAGGGTTCAAACCCTGCCCGCTCCCATCCCCCGTCGTACTGCGGAAGGTGTGGACTAGGAAGTAAACTATCTTCAACTCTAAAGGAACATCCGAAACATGTAAAACATTTTACAAACAAACAAAACATTGTTATCACTGCAACTAATCAAAACTGTACATATTCTTAAGATATATTATTCATGTTATTTAAAAAAAATTCGTATTATAATTGTAGATAATTTATTCAGGAAGAAATTTAAATCATTAGTTTTGTTAATTAAAATTTAAAAAAAAACATACTGTGTGTAATATTAATAGCTTGTAAATTTAAGCAAAAATTCTGAAACAGACAATTTTGTTCGCATATTATTTAGAAAGGAAAAAAAAGTTTAAAACCTACTCTTCTTCAATTTTAAATGTCATTAGGACAAATCGATACTGTTATTATGATTATTACTTGTATTATTACAATAAGTATTAATACTTCTATTATTACAATTATTATTATTGTTATTACTATACTGACTTACTTGACTTAATCCTGTCCACTCCCAGGTAAGCATAGGGCCGCAACCACACCTCTTCACCGAACACGGTTCTGAGCAGCTTTCTTCATTCGCTCCCATGTCATTCCAGTACCCTCAGCTTCACTGATGACTGAACTCTTCCAGGTTTGCTTGGGTCTGCCCACTTTCCTCTTTCCTTGTGGGTTCCAGTCAAGTGCCTGCCTTGCAACATTAGTAGGTGGCTTTCGCAGGGTGCTTCCTATCCAGCACCATTTTCGTTTTGTGATGTCTTGGCTATGGGCTTTTGTCTAGTTCTCTCCCACAAATCGATAGTGGTTATCTTTTCTGGCCACCTAATTCCTACTAATATCCGGCGTAGGCATCTGTTAACAAAGGTCTGGATCTTTTCTATATTTATTGTAGTGACTCTCCAAGTTTCTGAACCGTATACTTGAAAAGGGTTGGTCAACTTACCATTGTGTAATGATGTTGATGAATTTTGTTGGAATTCCGTAGTGATTCATCAGTCTCAAGATTACGTCTCTGTCAATACTGTCGAAGGCTTTCTCAAAATCAACAAAGGCCATGTACAGAGGAGATTGCCACTCAATAGATTGTGCTATGATTATACGTAGTGTAGCAATGTGGTCAGTGCATATGACTATAAAATTAGTATTATTATTTCTGTTTATTCTAAGACTATACTTAATAGTAAAAAATTTAAATTTGTAAATACCTTTATACAACATATTATGGTTTTTTTTTTTGGTGTGTGCTTTAACTAGTGAACGTAAGCGTCACGCTGTTGTTTCAAAACAAAACAAACATGTGTTGTATCTTCTCCAAATGATCTGATATATGGATTCTTAGGTGCTTTGGGGATGAAGTGACCGGGATGAAATGACTGCTCACCGTAGAATCGTAGGTGTTATTATAAGACAAACACTGAGAAGATACAATAAAATGGCACAGTGTAGATGTAATTCTCTTGACTTAAAATCTTTCAAAACTCAAACACAACCACTTCTGCAATTGAGACACAACCAATCACAACTACTTCTACAACTGAGACGCCATCAAGCACAACCACTTCTACAACTGAGACACCACCAATCACAACTACTTCTACAACTAGACACCACCAATCACAACCACTACTACAACTGAGACACCACCAATCACAACCACTTCTACAACTGAGACGCCATCATGCACAACCACTTCTTCAACTGAGACACCACCAATCACAACTGCTTCTACAACTGAGACACCTCCAATCACAACTACTTCTACAACTGAGACACCACCAATTATAACTACTTCTACAACTGAGACACCACCAATCACAACTGCTTCTACAACTGAGACACCACCAATCACAACCGCTTCTACAACTGAGACATCACAAATCACAACTACTTATACAACTAAGGCAACATCAAGCACAAACACTTCTACAACTGAGAGATTCTCCATTACCGTTCCTGTAACAGAAACAGCCACATATAAACAAACAACTGCGACTAAAACAGAATTCATTTTTCGCTGCTGTACCTCTTGTATATTGGAAGCTAACTTTACTGTTTTAACAGTGCTTGTTTTTCTTCTGTTTATCTAATACATATAAATCAGAAAGTTAGACGTATGTATGTATGTATGTATGTATGTATGTATACATGCATGTGTTATGTATGTATGAATGTATGTATGTACGTATGTATTTATGTATGTATGTATGTTTGTATGTACGTATGTATGTATCTATGCATCTATGTATGTATGTGTGTCCAGAATAGAAATCTTAACCTTTTGTCTGATCTTGATAAAATTGGACAAAAAAGTTTCATAGATGATGGCGGAGAAGTAATGTATGTTTTATGTCATTCTCACAACAAGAGAGTTCTAAAGGTAGACAAAAAGTACCTAACTTGGTAAACGACTTCCATGATAGGCATGCATATTTGAGTGAAAACGAAGCTGGAATGAATGACGAGTTGGCCCTGTACGGAGACAGAGAATCTCTGAGAAGAACTGCCGCTTTCCTTGTCCGTGTTGTCAGAGAATAGAGTTCTCAACACTGTGCCCTAGTGCGATGAGACTTACACGGCATGCTGTTGGGATGAAAACTGTGTAAAGTAGGTGGATCATGTGGGGGTGGATCATGTGGTTCAACTTGGGGGGGGGGGGGGAGACGGACTTTAGTGACTGATTTTTTGCTTTGATTTTGTTTATGTTAGGTAAGATTTTAATACTAAACCATCATTTGCCTACAACCAACCCCCCCTCCCGAAAAAATCATAGCTACGCCCATGAGTGAATTGATTTTTGTATACAATCTAACAGCCTTAAACAACTATTTATTGTATGAATCAAAAACAAAAAGTACTCAATGAATGAATGAATTATTGGTAATTAAATATTTCGTTTGACATCGAATAAGATAAATAAGTTGTACATTATTGGTTTTGTTTTAAGGACACAGTTCTCCCCTTTTGATAAGTTCTTTTTTTTTCAAAAAAGGATTTGTTATATTTTGCTTGTTCCTAATTGGCTCGACAACATTGTGTTAGTCTTCTAAAGAAGATTTCATCCAATCTAATTTTAAACTCAAAAATCGTGGAAGAAATGTTTCAATATAAATGAAATTTTTTAAAAGTTTGGAATAATATTGTAATAATTTAGTAATAAATAAAATAAAACACTATATAATAGGACTATATTAATTATACAAAGCTATCTAAATATTTGCAACGAAATGAGTGCTTGACAAGTTAGATTTATAATTAACACTAATATCTATGCGAGGTCAAATTAAATTTTGATAAATTTTCAACCTCAGTTAAAACGTTTATCGACATTATAAAGGTAAATAGAATCACCAAACAGCACATTTGCATTAAAATAAACCTAAGAATATTCTGATCTTGTGCATCTCAACGTAACTTTTATTTATACATGTATTTTTTTAAATTCGTTTTTAAAATAATAATTTGTATGTAACATTTTATGCATCATGCTAGCTATAGGTTTAAGGTAAATGGCGTCGGATGAGTGGCTGAGCAACACGAGCAGAGTTCAAACCTCCGCTAGACCAGAGTAGTGTCCACTTATCGCCTAAAGGCAGCATGGCGAACATGCTCCAAGACACACTCTCCCTTATATTACAATAAATGCATTGTACCATAACTTTCTGAGCAAGCTATAATCCTGAAAGTTGATTTATAAAAACAGTATTTATGATTTAATATTTACAAAATTTGAAACGCTATTTAAAAACCTACAAATGTTTTTCTAATTATATTTCATTGTCGCTCCTGTAGATAAATACGTGCATTGTAATTTTGGCTGTTTAAAATAAGTACCCACTTTATAATCATTAATGTAGATTGATTTATTATTAAAGAAAAAAAATCACCGAGGTTTATTTAGGCCTATTTATTGCGTTTTGCGTATTTCACAAATTGTTTACACTTTATTTGTGGAGAGCCGTGTTGGTGGCTTTTACTTTGTTGAAAAAGCTTATAGAGCCTAAAATAAGATGGTACTCTAATGTTTAATTAGGTCTATTGATTTATTAAGAGTTGTTAATGTTTGTAAAGAAATGTTTGAATGTAGTAACCAATGTGGTCAATATATTTTTTTTTTGCTCTTGATACACTTAGATTATGATATTTTAAAGTATCTTGGTAGAGTAGCCGTTTATACAATACAATTTATATATACACAAGAATTTCTCTTATTATTTAGATAATTAATTATTGTATTTATTTATACAACTATATTGTATTGGGGGAGTGGTGGCCGACCGGTAAGCCTTATCGTGGTAATTTTTATTATCGGGTTTCTAAGGGCGCTTCCCATTCCACCCAACTTTAATGGGTACCTGACTTATGTTCGGGGAAGCGGTTGGTCGTTGTGCTGGCCACATGACACACAAGTAAACCATCGGTCATAGAAAACTTGTATATTACCTGCCTTTAAATCTTAAAGTCTTAAAGAAACTTTATATTTTTTTTACAATGTATTGCAATCGATATAGTACACAGATATCATTACCGAAAATTGATCATCGAATTTTTATCGAATGCATTAAAAAAACATTGCAATTTCTTTGTGATTAAAAAAAAAAAAACAATACTTGTTTGCACAAACAGAGCAGGTAAAAAATAAAAAAAAAAAATATTCAAAAATTTAAAAAAAAGTAATCGAATTAATAAATAGCAATTAAAATTTCCTACAAACCTGCAAATTGAAAAAAAAAAGGGGATAAAAGAGTGCTTTTATATATAAGAGTATGTTTACAAAACAAAATGGCCGCCGTTGCCACAGCAACAACATTTTTCAAACTTCTTTAGCTAGTTTATTGATTGAGAACGCAAACATAACATCCCTAAATAATACAATTAGATTTGAAGCATACATACAAAAATACTCTCCATGTGTTTCCCCACCCTTAAGCTACTATAATTAAAATTGATAAACAACTCAGTTATCAGCACACTACAGATGACTACGCCACGTTTGTTTGTTTGTTTTTTTACTCCAATAGCCAAATATAAATTTATTTCATTTCTTACTTGAAAAAACGATCACCGTCAAACTAGAGCTGTGTGGCCAACGAGCTAGTAATTCTGTTTCTCAGCGGTATACTTTAACTGTTAAATTTTCAGGAAAACATCTTTAGAGCCGTTTTAGTGATCAGCGTTCAAAATGGTTCCTGGATCTAGGTCCCATGAAGTTCTGACTTGACTATAAGTATTGTACAGAATGTGCGACTTTTCGGTTGTATTTTGCATCAGATGCTGTAGAAACGCAACTGTATGATTTACAGACGCTCTGGGCGCTTATCCCGAAAGCGTGAAGAATATACACCTAAAGCGTTTTCTAGTGCTTCTGAGGGTGGGAAAAGGACGAACTTACTGTAGAAACTCCTTGTAACACAACTAGTAGGTTTTATGAGTGTGTAATTATTTTTTTGGTGAACCAAAAGGTGGTCGACGTAACAGAGGCGCCCCACGGAAACGCTTCCAAGACCAGCTTAGGCGTCAACTTTCCTTGCTGACATAGAAGAGAGCAACTGGTTGCATGCGGCCTCAGAACGAGACAACTGGAGGTCAGTCTCGAAGGCCGCGGGATACACATTTGAGACCAAAAGAAAATCTGCTGCCGAGGACAAACGCAGACGGCAAAAAGAAAATCTAAATCGACCACCTTCGGACAATGGATATGCTTGCCCTGGATGTGGCAAAAATGTGTAGGTCACAGCTGGGGCTGCGCAGTCATGGGAAATACTGTATCCCTCACTAATCTTCGGACTCGAAGACAAGCTTTATTATTATCTATCTATCTATCTACTTATCTATCTATCTATCTATCTATCTATCTATCTATCTATCTATCTATCTATCTATCTATTTATCTATCTATCCATCTATCTATCTATCTATCTATCTATCTATCTATCTATCTATCTATCTATCTATCTATCTATAGATATAATAGTTAGATAGATAAATAGACATAAAAATTAATAACTGTACCACGATATTATCGAAAATATAATGAAAACAATAATATATTCATTTTCTGTAAACCCAAACATATGTTATGTAAAAAATTATTAAAACCAGTAGAGTATTCCTTCAGTTCTAGAATGGATACCCAGAACTGTAAGGCGTATAATAGAGGTTTCATGAGGTAGAATCTGTCATGCTTTAGCTTGTAGACAGGACGCTAGGTCAAGGCTAGTCGCAAGAATGTGACGTCAAATGATCATGAGTTCAATGTGGTCAATGTGGGAAAGGTTAAAAAAAAGGCGGGAAAAGAAAGTGAAGGTAACGAGAACGTGTACGTATGAGACATGTTTTAGAGATTTTGGGGGACAGGAAAATTTAAGAAAGTGGAAGGTTTGTTTCCTTTTTTTGTTTTAGTTAGCCCTTGTTAAAATTAGGACTTACAGAGTGAGAGCTAGATGCCGCTAGTTGTGAAGATAAATTAAATATATTAATTATGGCTTCTATATAGCGCTACTTTCATGCTTCTAGCGTGTATTTAGGGAACAAAAAAGCTCTAAGCGCTAAGTTCCAATTTAGAGCGCTAAGTTCCAATCTCATTTTCGGACCAGTGGGGGATTGGGAAAAGGGGGTATCAGGAAGAAGGTTTGCCGTGCTGCCTTTAGGCGCTCAGTGTAGTCGGGTGTTGAATTTGAGCCTCCTTCATTGGTAGCCAATTCAATCACGCTTCCCAGATAACAATGCTGGCTACCAATTGTAAAGTAGCGTTTGTTTTCAATGTGTAGAATGCTGGGTTTGTGTGTCCTGGAGCTGCACTTAGCACGTCACAAACATAAAAAGTACACATTGACTTGAGTCCGCTTCAAGCGGACAAAATAACGTTTATTTAATAAAGATAAAATTCTGCAACTTCAAGCATTCAGTTACAAATCACTGTTTAAATGAGAAATGGCATGATATTCTTCATAGTAGTTACACAAACATGTTGAGCATCGTCCAAGATAAATACAGTTACTTCAGCACCTTAGCTGTATCAAATATACAAAGTCCTCTGCAATATGTGTACACATAAAGTCAGTACTAAATCACCTCCTCATCAAAGCGGGTTACAAAACATGTGTACAGCTCCGAGTACCGCAAACTGCTGCCGGAAATTAAATTTAACCATTCTTACTTCCCTTTTTCTATTCAGAGGTTCTCGTGCTTTTCACCTTCGTGACCCAAGGAGAGCAACTCTCAATGTTAAACGAGACTGTGACACTAGTTGGGGTATAAGGTTGGTGACTTTATTTGATTATTACTAATATTGTTGTACATTGTATCTGAATTGAAGTTACAGTATATATATTTTTTTTTTCAAGTTTGAGTTTTGAAAGATTTTAAGTCAAGAGAATTACATCTACACTGTGTCATTTTATTGTATCTTATCAGTGTTTGTCTTATAATAACGACACCTACGAATCTACGGTGAGCAGTCATTTCATCCCGGTCACTTCATCCCCAACGCACCTAAGAATCCATATATCAGATCATTTGGAGAAGATACAACACAAGTTTTTTTTGTTTTTTTTTAAACAACAGCGTGACGCTTACACTAGTTAAAGCACACACACACACACAAAACAACATTATATGTTGTATAAAGGCGGTATTGTCTTTTTAAAAAAATATTTATCATGCCTTTCTTGCTTACGGTATTTACACAAATAGATTTTTCTAAATTATGAAAATTTTTAAAAAGAAAGGAAGTAATAATACTAATTTTATAGTAATATGCACTGACCACATTGCTACACTACGTATTATCTTAGAACAATCTATCGAGTGGCAATCTCCTCTGTGCATGACCTTTGTTGATTTTGAGAAAGCCTTCGACAGTATTGAAGTAATCTGGAGACCGATGAATCTCTACGGAATTCCAACAAAATTCACCAATATCATTAAACAGTTATATGATGACTCATCATGCCAAGTAATACACAATGGTAAGTTGACCAACCCTTTTCAAGTATACAGTTCAGAAACTTGGAGAGTCACTACAACAAATATGGAAAAGCTCCAGACCTTTGTTAATAGATGCCTACGCCGGATATTATTAGGAATTAGGTGGTCAGAAAAGATAACTACTATCGATTTGTGGGAGAGAACTAGACAAAAACCCATAGCCCAAGACATCACAAAACGAAAATAAAGCTGGATAGGACACACCCTGCGAAAACCACCTACTAATGTTGCAAGGCAGGCACTTGACCCACAAGGAAAGAGGAAAGTGAGCAGACCCAAGCAAACCTGGAAGAGGTCGTCATCAGTGAAGCTGAGGATACTGGATTGACATGGGAGCGAATGAAGAAAGCTGCTCAGAACCGTGTTCGGTGGAGAGGTGTGGTTGCGGCCCTATGCTTACCTGGAAGTGGACAGGATTACGTCAAGTCAGTATAGTAATAATAATTATAACAATAATAATAATTGTAATAATAGAAGTATTAATACTTATTGTAATAATACAAGTAATAATGATAATAATAATACTAATTGTAATAATACAAGTAATAATCATAATAACAGTATCGATTTGTGCTAATGACATTTAAAATTGAAGCACAATAGATTTTAAACTTTGTTTTTTTCTTTTCTAAATAAACTGCGAACAAAATTGTCTGTTTCAGAATTTTTGCTTAAATTTACAAGCTATTAATATTACATACAGTATAATTTTTTAAAAAATTAAAATAACAAAACTAATGATTTAAATTTCTTCCTAAATAAATTATCTACAATTATAATACGAATGTTTTTAAAATAACATAATTAATATATCTTAAGAATGTGTACAGTTTTGATTAGTTGCAGTGATAATGTTTTGTTTGTTTGTCAAATGTTTGACATGTTTCGGATGTTCCTTCAGAGCTGAAGATAGTTTACTTCCTAGTCCAAACCTTCCGCAGTACGACGGGGGATGCTAGCGGGCAGGGTTTGAACCCTCGACCGTCGATAAATACGAACGACAGTCCAGCGCGCAAACCGCACGACCAGGCAGCCATCCGTTGAAAACGGAAGACAGAATAAATAAAATTTACTTTATTTTGAGAGGCCACTTAATGTTTTCTAAAGAGCATATAAAATAGTGACATGCGTGGTCGGGAAGCATAGTTGTGTTTACTGAGCGCCTAAAGGCAGCACGGAAAACCAACTCCTAGATACTATATAAAAGCTACAAT